AACAATGATTATTTGGAAATTCTCTGATTTTAGCATCAATGATCAGCATTTAGTCATTGCAATAGACGGGTTCTTTGCGCTTTTTGTGCTCAATTTTATTTCGATAAAAAGATTTCGACTTTTTCTAGCTTCAAACTTCTCTATTTGAGCGAGCTGTCAAAATAAGCAAAATGAAAAGGCTTTGTGGGGTCAAGAAAATCACAGAGAAAGATCGAGGTGATTTGGTTTATCACTGAAAGTTATTCTTTGGTGAAAAGCTTGGAAAAATTATCTAATTGACAATTCACTGACAATTATCTAATTAGAAAAACATCAGAATTACCGTATTAAAATATTGCCCTATCTAGGGCTGGCTGTTCAGATGAATCTATCAGATATCCAAAATGTCCAGATGATTTTTAAAAAGTCCATCAGAAATTTTGATTTAAATCATTGAAAAAAAATAAAACTTTGAAATGCAGGCAAAGCCTATCACTGCTTGAAGTACAGGGTGTCCAACAGTTATGGTGACGCGCATCTTACTACATTTGACTGCTTTCTGTCTTTCTTTTTTTTCTTTTCTTATTAATTCGATGATTTGATTTTTTTAGGTATGAAATCTTAGAAAAAACTGCGTTCAGTCATTATTACTCTTCATCGACAAGGAAAAACACTCGCAGAGATATGTCCAGTCTTGCAGGAAAAGAGACAGAATGGTTTTCATGCTCTGAAGCGTTTCGATGCCCAGGCAAATGGCCATCAAACTCGCCTGATCTCAAACCCTTAGGTTACTCAGTATGGTCGATTCTTGAAAGCAAGGCATATGCTAAAGCCTCCTTGAATCAATTGAATCCTTGAAACGAGATTTAATCAAGGCATGGAACTGTAGCTGTGCCCTGTAACTGTGCCCTGTAACTGTGCCCTGTAACTGTGCCCTGTAACTGTGCCCTGTAACTGTGCCCTTAACTGTCCCTGTAACTGCCCGTAACTGGCCCTGTAACTGTGCCCTGAACCCCTGTAACTGCCCTGAACTGTGCCCTGACTGTGCCCTGAACTGTGCCCTGTACGTGCCCTGAACTGTGCCCTGTACTGGCCCTGTAATTGCCCTGTAACTTGCCCTGAACTGGCCCTGAACTGTGCCCTGCTGTGCCCTGTAACGGCCCTGTAATGTGCCCTGTACTGTGCCCTGTAACTGTGCCCTGTAACTGTGCCCTGTAACTGTGCCCTGAACTGTGCCCTGTAACTGTGCCCTGAACTGTGCCCTGGACTGTGCCCTGTAACTGTGCCCTGTAACTGTGCCCTGTAAATGTGCCCTGTAACTGTGCCCTGAACTGTGCCCTGGAACTGTGCCCTGTAACTGTGCCCTGTAACTGTGCCTTGTAACTGTGCCCTGTAACTGGGCGACCAACGCGCCCCTGAGCTGACCCTCTTCTCAATCACTTGTCTTAAATAGCGTTGCACTTATAAATTAACCAGAAACGTGTTCTAAGTCAGTTTTTCGCGAGGAATACGAATTTCTTACTTTTAAAATCGTATCTTTTATCTAAAATTCCCAAAAATGCAGAAAATACAAGTACGGGAACTTTTGGCGCACCCCGTAATTCTGTGCTCTCTTCATGATTTTTTCATAAGCCGATTTTGGAAGTGCTAAACAACCATCAAACTCAAAATTTTCTATAAATATTGAAAATCTTGTAGAGCTTATCACTGTTTAGCACGAGTTTTAACTGTTTCTAACATGAGCTTCCAATCTTTGAGCCTTACTTCGGGATTCAAACTCAAATGGCATAACTGCACCATTACGCGCTTGAAAGGACATTACCATTATCGTAAACTACTCAGTCATTGAGTAGACGTAAACCAGTCATTGCTATGAACATGCATAATCATTACCGACACAGATCGATGAGAAAACTCTTTATTTTCCGCTCTCACGACTTTGATTCTCATCAGAAATTCCCCGATCGAACTTACACACATCGAGAATTCGGGAAACTGAAAACGAGGAAAAAAAACATCTCTTCCCGAGCTCTTTTCTCTTTAAAAGCATCAAAATGCTAAAATGTGCGCAAAAATGTGCAAAAACCCCTCAAACCACTTCATCCACTTCAATTTTCGGCCTTGAAAAGGTTCATTTGCGTTTTTATCGGTGTTCTTTGAGACCTCAAAACTTTCATTAATCAGTTTTTCTTTGAGATTTAGGATTTTCAAATTTCAAAGCTCAAAGAAAAAGACTTTTCTCAATCTCTAATGAAATAATCATGATCTTTTGGGATCTTTGAGCTTTTGGAAAGAAATAGAAAAACTTTATTCTTTTTTATAAATCTATGAAATATTTTTCATTGTACTTTGAAAATATTTCTAACTTTTAATCAAGGCAAATCATTATTTAACAAAGTTTTATTTCTTTCAAATGAAAATTTCTACAGGAACAATTTCGATTTATGATTGAAAATTATTTGAAGCATTTAAAGCATTTAAAGCCAAGCTAGTTTTGTCCACAAAACTTATTTCCAATGCTCATGTTCTTCTTTGTGCTCAATAAGGATAAAAACTCACCCTTTCTGGCGCACTCACTTTCCAGTAAGCTCATCGATGAAAGCTCATCTTGGAGGCTTTCATCGCCGTATCGAAAACGCTGAAACCATCGACGACACTGACTTTCACTGATACAATCATCTCCAAAAGCTTTGACAGGTGAACGGTGAGATCCAGCAGGGGTTTTTCCTTGTTTGAAATCACAGATCATGGCAGCTCCAAGCACAAGCTCGTTGGCATCTATTTTTTGCAGTAAAAACCACCAGTGAAAAGAGGGAAATGATTATAAACCTAGTGAGTGTGTAGCTTATTTTTATTCAAAACATGATGTAAGCAAACACTTGGCAAATTGTCAGCACCGAGAAATTCGAAGCGCGCATTATTTTCTTTACACCCTGATAGGTAAGAAAAGACATTTCGAAAATAAAAGGTTTCAAAATCGGCCGATTTTCATTTTCAAACGTAGCATATTAAAGAATTTTCAACCTTTGATGCTCTAGAAAGAACTCTACCTTTGATACTCTAGAATTTATAGTCGGTTTTAAAAGTCTGCTGTGTTCAGAGTCATTCTGATGACTTTTAGTCCAATTACTTCATCAAATTCTGACCTAAAGTCAAGAAAACTGTTATGAAACGCGTTTCTTCTGAAAAATTAATGAGCTTCCCGAGTATTTTGAAGGAATAGCGTCCGTATTCTCGGAGATTTTTGACGAGACTTCGGTGAATGGAAGAGAGCAATGAGACGTGGGTCAATCTCCAAATTGCATTCCCTTCCCCCTCCTCCCTTCTTCCTTTTCTCATATCCTTTTTCGACTTTCGATCTTCATCCATCTTTCGATCTTCATCCAACACATAAAACTCAATTTTGAAAGTTTCGAGATTTTCTAGAAATAGAAATAGAAAGTTCCTTGCTTAGGCGTTTCATTTAACAGCGCAACTTTCTTGCAGCATTGATTGCTATCATTCTTTGTGCTCTTTTTGTTGACTTTTGTTGCAAAAGTGCTATTGGCTTGAGTTGGAGTCATAGTTTATGCCAACACAAGAAAACTATTTGAGAAATACAGGGTGACCGGACAAAAACCGGAAAAATAACCCGGAAAAACCTTTTGACTTGATCTTGCAGATAGACTAATAAAAATATTTTTTAAACTCTTTAATTATACACTCTTAATAACTCAAATCCAAAAGATTTTGCTCCTAGGCCATTTCTGAACGGCGTTTGTGAGCGGCAGCCGCAAAAAGAGCAGAGGGTTTGACCGAGCTGCTTCTTTCAACTCCTAGAACTTACAGAAACGGTCTAGGACTAAAATCTTTTGGATTTAAATTACGAAGAGTGTATAATTAAAGATCTTTAAAGGTATTTTTATTTAGTCCATCCGCATGTGAAGATCAAAGAGTCAAAAAGGTTTGTTCGGATTATTTCTGGTCACCCTGTATAGCATTGCTTTGACTTATTCCGCTACTTTAACGTACTTTAAACAAAACTGAAAAATGACCGCCCTAAAATATCATTCAAAATAATTAGAGTTGGGATCATTTCATTGGAAAACTTTGTTTTTACAATAATGTTTCTTTTTTGTGAAAAAGCCGGTTTTTTTGACAATTTTGAGGGCTTTGAACCTACGCTCTATCTAAATTTCTGTAAATGCATTTCCGTTAGACGTTTTAATGAATTGATATATAGTTATCCTTTTTTCTTTAAATCTTCAATTTTGGGAATTTAACTCTATTTTGACCACACTGAACTTGTCCCGAAAGTGACTCGATTTCTTTTTTGGTCACTCGCATTTCGCCCTCGAAATTTCTTCAATGGTTCGATCAATTGAAACACGTTTTAGCCTATTTTGTAGAGGAGATTTACAACTTTCAAATAGTTTATAACATTTGTCGACATCATTTCATGTGAACCGGCCGATATCAGGTTTCTATCGTTGGAAATTTATGAAAATGTTGAAATCCGCATTTCTTATGCATGTCCCGAATACTTAGCTCAAAAGCTATATTGCAAATATTCTCGTTAAGCAAAGTACAAACGCACATTTCCATTCTGATCATCGGCAACTGTCCACGCATAGGCACCACCCATTCGCTTCACTTGTAGATAAACATCGAATGGTTCCACCTAATGAAAGTAAACTATGAATCAATTTTAGACACCTCTAATCTTACTTGAATCTCTGAATACTCTAGAAAAACTTTTGAAGACTTTTTAAGCCTTGATTTTACTTTTTCTTTTCTCTCTCCTTGGTTTCATATTCCCAGGAGACAGCTCGTTTTGCTCGTTATTGTCAAATTTCAGCCGACAAACTCTAATTCCACGATTTCAGATTTTCAGAAAGACGAAACACTTCTGAGTTTTTAAAGAAATAATTTCATGTTTTATGCTTGTTTGGCGACTTTGATTTGTCTCATTGTTGGCGTCACGGGTATCGTCCTCAGCCTTATCGATATTGAGAGGTGAGAGGGGATCTGCAAGAATGTTTCAGTGCAAAAGGAATTCAAAATAGCATCAATAAACAAATTTTAAAATTTCTCAAATTTTAATCTAATTGCTTAGTCTATTGCTGCAAAAATCCATCACTTTTCAGCAAAGATTTTCAGATTCAATTTCGGACTTTATTTGGCGTTGTTATCGGTGGTCGGCTCAACAGTTTCGATCGCTTTCTGGATCATTTCACCGACGATTTGTGGAAATCCCCGTTGTGTACAAGGAGTTGTTGATAGGTTGGATTAGCTTTTAAAAAGTTTTAAAAGATTTGAGCAAAGTTTTAGCGCCACTTTTTTTCAGATACGGCTACAAACTTGATCCGATTCGGAACTTCACGCGACGACATTTCGGACAAACGAGAGGTTTGTGATTGAGAAAACCGTGGAAATAGCTTTAAGACGAATTGAGTCTTTTCAGGGTTACATGTAGTCGATTTTGAGTCAGATAGGCTAATTAAAGTTTTACTTTTCACCCTTACTAGGGAAAGGCATGAGCTCAAGGCGAGTTTTTGTCTGGACACTTTACAGGGTGCGGCGAAAGTTCTTTCCTTTTTAAATTCTTTTTAATTGAATTCTCTTTGATTGTTATTATTTCATAAGTGTTTATAGCCAAAAGATAGCCAATTCTCCACAAACAAAAACAAACACAGGGACCAAAACCTACTCCTCTGAACGAAAGCCTAATGCGTTATCCACTAGCCGACCAGCGCACGCTAGGAAGGAGCCTTTTAAAGATTTTTTAAAGCATCCGTTTTGGCGCCAAATTCTCGACTGAAGTTTTACAGTTATTTGGCAGATTTTGGTTTTAAATTCGGATTTCTCATACCCGATTTTATAAAATCCACTAGATGTCCAGATAAAAGCTCACCTTGAGTTCTTGTCTTTTCCTAGTTAGTGCCTTTCCCTGGTTAGCTACAGTATGCCCAAGGCAGTAGGCATATTTGTTGTGCTCCGATTTGATTGGATTAGCTTTTGACTGTTTGGATCCTTAAGATATACAAAGCTCCTTAAGCTACAAAGCTTGATTCGATCCTTAAGAGATACAAAACAAAACAAAATATATTCAAATCTGATAAATTTAGAAAGTCGTCGAAAAAAGCTGGCCCGGCGTCGGAAACCGAGCGAATACGACCCACCAGAGCCAGTACTCGAGAAGCGCTACCGAAAGAAGAGATCAAAAAGGAGTAGACAAGGGACAGCCGATGATTCGGCTATTGTTGCTGTATGTTTTATTGAGTTATAAAGATTAGATAATCAGTTTTGTGAAGAGAATTTTTACCGTTAAAGATGACAATTTAGTCCCTGCTCTCCCAGGATCGAACAGGACTCAACGACTCTGAAGAGGGTCTACAAACCTCTTCCAGTGGATATCATTCGCCGAATCAGGTTTGAGAATGGCAAAATTCAGCTTATTGTAGCAACTTAGACACATATTTGCTTAATCTGTTAATTTGGATCAAAAAAATGACATTTAGACGGTGACAAGACCGAGCGACGGGGATGTCGAACCACCGCCAAAATTCATCGAGGTTAGAACATGTTTATGATATTGAAAAGTGAATAAAACAAAGCTTACAATAAGCTTTAGACATTATAGTAGACCTAATATAGTAGATCAATTCTTTTCAATTGATTTCAAATGTAACATTTCTTTCAGAGGATTGTCGATGAGACCGTGCAACAGGAGATGCCGATACTTCGCCCGCCGGTAGGTCTAACGATGAATATTGTATTGGATTGGTGAATTGAAAACTGCGGGCTATTGTCATATGTCCCAGTTTGAGCACTTTCTTCAAAAGAAACCCATTTTGGTGTCAATGGAAAAGTTGTAGAGAATCACAAATGAAGCTTATATCCAAATTTTCAGAATGATTCAAAAACTGGTTTTCAAGAAATGCCAAATTTACGAATTTTCACAAGACTTGCATTTTAAGCGAAACTACTAAGTGTATCTTTTTGGAAATTTGGCTATAAGCCTAATTTTTGATTCTCTAGAACTTTTCTATTGACACCAAAATGGGTTTCTTTTGAAGAAAGTGCTCAAACTGGAAGTCCTTCGCCAGTCTCCAGTCCTCCATTTTTGAGTCTCACACTTGTCTCACACACAAACCAAAATCCTACTACGAAAAAGGAATCCGCAAATTGCCTGTAAAATAGGCAGAAGTCGTCAATAATAATGGAAATTATTTGGAATGAATTGATAGTTTTATGTTGAATAAATTTTAGTTCAAAGTCCGGCAGTTCTCAACTCACCAACCCAATAGTTTGATCTTTTACCAATCTAAAGATCCAAGCTCTATCTTGCTAACTGTTATCTAGTAGACTAAAAAGAAGAGTACAACAAAATACTAATTTCAGGAGCAATCAAAAATCGCCCAATCCAGATCGTATTCGGCTATTCTGAACCTGGGAAATGATTTCTCAAGGTCTCGGAGTGATTTCACGTTTCGAAGTGACCCAGATAAACCCAGTGATTCGACTGACTTTTTTAGTAGGTGACAATAAATTTTTATTCAACTCAAAAGTCACAAAATCTTTTGATCTTCTAAATCACAATGGACAAGCAAATTTGGAGAGAAAACGCTGAACATTGGCAGGGTTTGCGTTCTACTTGACAAGTTTAGTTCAACAAACAGTTTCTTAGCGAGATTGTTGTCTTTTTCAACTTAATTTATTTAACAACACTTTTTCTGGCTCACTTATCACTCATTAGTTCTAATGATTTTGTCAGAATTAATGTCAAAATGACATATTCGAAAGTAAATCCGGCTTGATTATAGCGATTTTTTGTAAGAAATATACTTTGAGCTTTGTGATTTCTTGTGAGACCGTGTCTCAGTGTGGTTCAATAGTAGATGCCTTGAAAATGCAGAAATTGATTAAAACTTTCCCTTACTAGGGTAAAATTCGCTCAAAATGGAACAAGATGGCACTTTCACAACTATTCAACACTTGAAAAGTGAAATGAAGAGTGAAAAACTTTTTATTTGATATCTAAATCGTGTTTGGAAGACAAACTTTCAATTTCACATTGATTAATTTCAGAAAAATGAAAAAAAAGAAGCCCAATTGAATGAACGCTTAAAATGGGTTTTTAAAGTACAACAAAGTTACAACAAACGGACCACGGAATATCGATTAATCTGTGGCGAATAGCCACTAAAAAAGTCTCCAAATTCTGGTGTATGAAAATCGAAAAGTTATTGAGAAAATCGTCTTCATTCTATTCCTCGTCTCAAATCATTGTTTGCAGCTCGTTAGCTGAAAATCTTTTGTTTAAAGCCTATATAAGACAACTGTTGTTCATTTGCCTATTCTTCTTTTTCATTTTTCGTGAAAATTGCTCAAGTGAGAGCTTAAAATTCAAAATTATTTGAATAAAGAATGTATTTTTTAGTTTAACAGAGTGAAAATCAAGTGAGATCATAGATTTCAAAACAAGAAATAGAGTGCTTTGTGTGAGGAGTACCGAGCACGCAGAATAATATTCCTTTACAGAGTGTTCCCAAAATTATGAAGCGGATCCTGTTTCAACCAGGATGAATATCTGAACATGTTGAAAACAGAAATTTTGCCTTGGACTTCAGCAGCACTTTGGAAATAGACCCAAGACGCAGGACGTGATGGAGATTTCGCAGCTTTTGCACGTGCCTCACCAGACAGTTTCAAAAGCAATCAAGCGTCACAAAGAGACTGGGAAATTGGAAGATCGATTAGGACGCGACCGAAAGAAGATTTCCAACAATCCAAGCAATCGTCGAAAGATCTTTCAACGAATCCAAAGAAACCCAAGATCACAGAAAAACTCCACCCGAAAGATGACTGCTGCAATTGGAATCTCAAAGGCCACAGTGCACCGAATTCTCAAAAAACACGGAATGAAGACAGGAAAAGATGTAATCGGACATTACACGAACATTCAGCAGGACGGAGCTCGAGAAACGCAAGATTGGACCGCAAAGAATTTCCCTGATTGGGATCACAGTTGACATAAAAATCCAGAAGAATGGTCAACCAACTCGCCGGATTTGAATCTTTTGGATTACAGCATTTGGTAGATCTTGAAGTCCAAAGCTTGTTGCAAGCCTCACACATCAATTCAGTCTTTGAAGAGGATTTGTAGAAAGCTTGGGACGACATTGGTTATCAAATTGGCCATGGATGACTTTCCGAAACGATTACGAAAATGTATTCAAGCCAAAGGAGGCCACTTTGAATAATAATGCTATTTTTTATTAGATTCAATGATTGTTAAATGATTTTTAAGGTATCTATAAAAATTTCTTGAAAATTAACAAAAGATCAATGAGCGAATTTTCGCTCCATAATTTTGAGCCAGAGTAAGTGATTACGGTATCTTATCCATCGACTTTTAACTGTCTTCTCCATCGGCTTTTAATTTTAACTTGTCTATTGATTTTAATTGCCTGCAGAGCAGTAGCAATTCGCCACAATTTTCGTATTTCTTTGCTATCCCGATTTCTATTTGAAACTGTCGCTCAAAAGCATTTCACATTTCACAAACGGGCGAGAACATGTGTGTTGTGGGTGGCAATAAACAGGGTCGGCGGTTGTCCCTTTTACCCTTGATAGTCTCTCTTTTCGCCCAGCCAAACAGATCGTAATCCCTCAGCACTCAATCCGGCCTCCTCGCAAAAGCTCGACAAAACGATCAAATCCCAAATCGACCTTTTCTCTTGCAAATGAAAGTATTTACAACGATTTGTTGCCTTTGTTGTTTGTTGAAATAGTATTTAAGTTGAAAAATCACATTTTGATCTCATGGATGACATCCAAACTGGAAAGCAAATCTAGTAAAGTCTTGATTTGAGCTTGTTTTTAACAATTTAAACCATTTTCAAAGCTCAATCTAAAGACTTTTTGACTGAAATGTTAAGAAAAGAAAAATACATCCATTCATACGAATAATGTGGTACAAACTAGACTAAGATATAGGGCTTTTAGCCAGTCGGCCCTGGCGGCATTCGGGCTTGGCAACAGTGGAAATCTATTTACATCGAAAGCAAATCCAATTCAACTATCCATCCAAGTCTAGGATGTACAAAATGTAAAAAGTTGCAACTAGCCGCCATTGATTTGGTATAAAAAAACGGCTCTGCATTTGCTATTAGCAGAAGAACCAGCTGCTAATTATAGGCTTATGTGGAAAACGACGCGAAAGAGACGAATTTCGAGAATCGGAAAGTGTTCTGATGTATAGGAAAGATCAAAGCTTGACGGAAATCGGATAAAAATAGAAGCAGAGACAGGTGTTTTCGATCGATTCAAAGATCCTCTGAAGCCAATGAAAGCCAATGAAAGCCAATGAAGATTTTGCGACAAGAAGACATGGAGTCAGGTTTTTTGAAATTGATTTGCTCGATTTGAGCTGCCGGACCTGAATCTGTAGTCCGTTTTTGCCCAATCCTTTGCAATTGCAATCCCAATTCTTCTATGTCTTTTTAACTTTCAGAAACCAAAGGCATCACAGTAGAAATCTATTCACATCGAAAGCAAATTCAATTCAATTATCCATCTCAAAAGTCTAGGAAAAACAAAGCAAAACTTGGACTTTTCTTTCAAAAACATGGCAAATCTTGGGCTTTTTATACGATGTTTTCTAAATAACTACAAAAAATAGGGCTTTTTTGTCAAAATTACCCAAAAACTGCACATTACTGTTTCTTATTGAGTTGATAGAAATGAAAAATTGCAGTTTCTACTGCTTTTCTCAATTTCTTAGCTTACAGGAGACTGGTTTCAACTCAAAATTTGAAATGATTGTCTCATCTAATGGGTTTGAGATGATGTTTCTGGAAATTCGTGAAGGATTCGAACCAAAGTCTATCGTTTCGAGTCCAAAAACTGAAGCACGATAGCACTAACCTGGCTATGAGTTTGTTCTTTGATTACCGTATTTCTTCGAATAGAAGACCGGGTAAAGAGTATCATCGCGTACTCCTGCGTAGCAGCCCTTTTTAACATTTCTTTTCTGCATAAAAGCTTTCAATCAAGTGCTATAGGGCTGGAAAATGGCTCAAAAATCTGTTAGCTCATGTGGTCTTTTGAGCCATTTTCCAGCTCTATAGCACTTGATTGAAAGCTTTTATGCAGAAAAGAAATGTTAAAAAGGGCTGCTACGCAGGAGTACGCGATGATACTCTTTACCCGGCCTTCTATTCGAAGAAATACGGTAAGTAATTAAACATTAAACAGTAATTAAACATTAAATAAAAACAAATGAAATTGATTAAGTAATTCAACAACTCTGAAAATCAGCCATGGCAAGTTTGGCTGGTTTTAAGGCTAACTGAGGTTGACTTGAGGCTAGTTTTACAATCTTATCCTAGTTCGGTACACTTGTTCTTCGACTTTTCAGAAAGTCAACATTAGAAACTTGTTTTTTTTCACATCAGAACCAAGCTTATTTATGGAATTAAAGCAATGACAACATTTTCAGCATTTTCAGGCACCTTTCCCCTCCGTAAGTATGAGTGGCGAGGGAGGGGTTGACTATCACCTGTGTCCCCCCTTTTCCCCCTTTCTTTCACCCTCCTCTCAAGGGGATCCGTGTTAATCTCTGTAATCGGACCCCCTCCACCTGCAAGCCCAATGAAAGGCTATGGGATGAATTTCTGATTATCCTTTTTGAGAAGAGATCATATGATAGGAGTTTACATATGTTTACCGTTTACCGTTTTTTTAGTATTACTCACCTGTTGTTTTCTCGCGTTTTCTCTGCCCAAAATTGAATTCGCTTTTGCACGTTTCCTTGGGAAGCAATTTTTGGATTTTGGTGTCTACCGTAGTTCATTGCTTTTAAATATCATAAAATCTGGGCTTGGCTTGGCTTTGGTTTTCCTTCTTTAGTCACAGTGATGCCGAATCTAAAAAAAATTCACAATAACTTGAGCAAATTCTATAACTTGAGTAGCGACTCAGCTATTATAACTAACAAAGGAAAGGCAGCAGTAGAATATGGCCAAATGAGATGAACCATAGCCATAGCCATAGACCATTCGACGCAGAATTTCAAGCCAATTACGAATCTGCTTTCCGTTTCCGCTATACAACACTCTGTCAAAAGTTATAAACGCACAAAGTCTTGTATTGGTTTAGTATGTTTTGTATAGTTTTGTATAAACAAAACTTTTACCAAAAAGAAATCGAACTCGAGCGAAGAAAAGGAGCCCTCGTTTTGTATGCAAGCATTCTATCCACTAGACCATCAATTCACGCTTTGGATCCTTGCCCTTAAACCCCTTGAAACCCTTAAACCCCTTAAAACCCTTAAAAAAGCCTTCCAATTCGACATTATAAAGGCAACCCTTTCGCATTTTCACCCTAAAATTTAAAACATGTATAACTTTTTCTAGAAAGCCATTTTGCAAAAACGGGAAGCAGATTCGGAATCAGCGTGAAAATCTGCGTTGAATGGTCTAAGGCTCATCTCATTTAACTCAGACCCTTGCCTTTCCTTTGTAAAACAAGTTTGC